ACGGGCAGCGGGACCGCGGCGCGTCTCTGCGGTCCCGCCGCCCACGTCCTCCGTGGCGAGAAAAGCCGCTCCGCATCTCCCTGGTCTGCTGGAGGGCGGGGGCGCTAGCTCTGTATCTCCCTGGTCTGCTGGGGGGAAGCACCCCCCGTGCTGGCAGAGGCGGCGACAGTGGGGGAGGCACCCCCCACTAGCTGCGTGCCCCCCCAGTTCGTAACTAGGGGTCCGACTTAAGTCGGATTGACATAACCCGGGGACTGCCTGTACACATATCTACATATATTGCCTGGGCCGGGGGAGCTTGAGATGATTGGCATGATAAGTTGTTGTGCTCAATTTCTCCCATATATTTTGTATTGTAATTGTGGTTTATTTCCCTTAGGGCTGTTCAGAACATTGGCTCTGATGGTAATAAAGTATCCCAGAGACAGTATCAGAAGATGAAGAATGAATGGAAAATGGCCAAAATTGCATTGATTGTCATCTTGCTTTTCGTCATTTCCTGGTCACCATATTCTGCTGTAGCTCTGGTGGCTTTTGCTGGGTAATTATGAATATATTAGCAAGAAAAAAAATCAGTGAGCCCAGAATGCATGAAATTGTAGAAGAAGCAAATTATGAAAGGCCAAGGAGTTTCAATTCTTATGCTCAACAATGGGAAGGGGAAATCTTCACTTATTCAGAAGTAATCGTTTGTTACATGTTTGGTAAATAGAACACATGCTGGTTGTAATTTTTCTCAGTTTGATTTTTCAGCACAGAACAGCTCAGTACTGGCTAACATGTAAAATCATGTTAGTTAATTCTAAAATACAATTTCACAATGTAAAAATATTTGAACATGATTCTATGGCTTTTCCAGGGTGCAAAAAAAAGATACATAACTTATTTTGAGTGTTTTCTCTGAGCTTGATTATTCACTCACACCAGCTTGATGCTGGCATAAATCCAGTAGCTGCAATGGGGTTATCCCAGACTTCCAACAATTAGGGCACATAGTGTGTAGAGCATTATTTTGGAATAACTGACATTATTTCGAAATAACAAAATGCATGTCTACATAGTAAGTCATTATTCTGAAATAATGTTGAAATGGAGGCCTTCTTACTCTGACTCCTATAAAGTTCATTTCACGAGAAGTAAGGGAAGTTAAAGGGAGAGTGTTCTTCTTTCAACTTCCTGCTGTGTAGACAGAACCAAAAGCTGAATTAAGCTATTTCGACTTCAGCTACACAATTGACTTAGCTGAAATTGCATATCTTAATTCACCTTTTGCCTTGCTGTGTAGAAGGCACGTCCATACTAGGAAGTTATTTCAAAATAACTAATTTCAAAATAATAACTCCCAAAATAAGCTTATTTCAAAATAGTTATTCCCCAAGGAAAGCAGTAGTTATTATTTCAAAATAACCAGCCCCTTATTTTGAAACAATGGGCTTGATAGTGTGGGCACTCCACTTGTTATTTCATAATAAGAAAAGTTATTTCAAAAGAACTCCCTAGTGTAGACCAGGGCTAAGTGAACTCAGAATTAGGCCCTATATCTGGCTTTACTAACTCTAGTTCTTTTAGTTTTGCACTGAACAGTAACAATGGATGACCTAACTTTAAATATATTTAAAAAAAATCTGGCACATGTTGCCTTTCTTGCGCCCATTTACCTTTCAGCATTTTATATATTCTTTTTCAATAAAGACATAGTGTCCACCAAAAAAAAACCCCACATTAATATGGACTTATTAAGGAGAAGGGATTAGAAGTCTGGACTCTTGGGGCACTTCTAACACACTGGCATTATTCTGAAATAACGTAGTCCGCATCTACACTACAAACAGATATTTCTGCATAATGTCAAAATAATGTTGAGCTGGAGGATTTCTTACTCTGACTCCTGTAACCCTCATTTTATGAGGAGTAAGGGAAGTTGGAGGAAGAGTGTTCTTTCTAGGACTTCCTGCTGTTTAGAGAGCGCCAAAAGCCAAAATAAGCTATTTTAACTTAAGCTACGCAATTGATGTAGTTCAAGTTGCATTGTTTATTTCAGCTTTAGCCTAGTGTGTAGATGCGCTCTTGGTTTCTATTAGGCTTTGCCCCTGATTTAATGTGTGACACTGAATAAGTCACTTCACAATCCTGTGCCTCCATCTATCTATTTCTAAACAGGTTTAATAATTTAGGGCACTTGGAAGTCAAAGACCCTGTACAAGTGCAAAATAAAAAAAAAATGCACTACTCCACTACTGCCTCTTTATTATAATTTTCCAATCATCTGATGAGAAATATGCACCTCAAACTTAACAACCAATACAAGATCATAAAATGGACAGTGTACAGCACACACTGCCCCTGTAAAATAAGCTATGCAATTTATGCTAGGCAAATTACGTAACTTATTTCAAGTCAATTTCAAAATAGTTTATTGCAAAATTTGGCACTGTCTACACAGCACTTATTGCAAAATAAATTGCTATTCTGAAACACATGGAATGAGGTTTACAGGGATATTGGAATAGTGAGCCCATTATGTTTTGAAATAATGGATGCACTCAAAAGACATGGAATAGCTATTTCGGGATACCTCTGGTATCCCAAAATAGCGCTGCAATGTAGACATAGCCTATGGTTTCTTAGGGTCTGTCTACACTGCATTCCTCTTCCGAAAGAGGAATGCAAATGCAGCCGAGCGAAATTGCAAATAAAGCGCGGATTTGAATTTCCCATGCTTCATTTGTATAATCGTGTCCAGCTGCTATTTTGAAATACCCTATTTCGAGATAAAAAATGCCGTGTAGACGCAGTTATTTTGAAAGAAACCCCTTCTTTCAAAATAACCATTAAACCTCGTTTTTAAGGAGTAAGAGGAATGCAGTGTAGATATACCCTCAGGATTAATGGATCAAGTTCCAAGACCTTATATTGACTTCATTGTAATAGCATTGCCACATACAGCATAGCTTAGGAGATAGACCTAGAAATGGTGAGTGTTCTGCTCTACTCAGCAGGAGGCCTCAGCTCCAGCATTGTGTCTAGTTCTGGGTGCCACATTACATGAAAGATGTGGCCAAATTGGAAAGTCCAGAGACAGGAGAGCAATAAAAATGATAAAAGGATTAGAACACTTGCCCTATAAAGAAAGGTTAAAAAATCGTGAGAAAAGAATGAGGGAAGATCTGATAATCTGTTAAGGGCTGTTATAGAGAGGATAGGGATCATTTATTTTCCATGTCCACTAAAGGTAGGGCAAGAAGTTTTGGGCTTAATCTGGGAGATTTAGATTAGAGATTAGGAAAACCTTTCCAGCCATATGGGTAACTAAGACCTGGAACAGGCTTCCAAGGGAAGTCGTGGTATCCCCATCATTGGAGATTTAAGAACAGGTTAGGCTTCAGAACACCTGTGAAGGATGGTCCAGGTGTACTTGGTCCTGCTTCAGTTCAGAGGGCAGGATTTGATCAATTCATTAGATTTGTTAACTCATCAGCTGTTTGAGAGGTTGGATAGTGCACAGTATCTATTACCTTCTCAAAAATCCCAGAATCATGCCTTTTCATTTTGGATTTGGCTTTTGTGTCATTGGTTTCGGCAGCATATTTGCCTATTTCATAGGAAACCAGTTTATTGGCTGGTCTGGAGATCACACAAACGACATCAGCTTCTGTTTCAGTCCAGCCCTGCAATGAATACATGGGAAACAAGCACTTTAGGGTCCCGTTGGGCTCGGTTACTCTGTTAATTTAATAACATTGTGTGGGGGCAGCAGTACCTGGAGAGGCCTGCCTCCCCGGAAGCCATTTCTAGAAGGGGGTGCCCCCAGGTTAGTGTGCCACCCCCCAAACCCTCTTGTACACTCCATTTCCTCCAGAGCCTGAACCCTCTAGCCCTCCAGCCCCTAAACTCCCTCCCAGAGCCTGCAGCCAGAACCTCCACCCCCTGCCCTGGGCCACAGCCAGCACCCACATTCCCTCCCCATGCCTGCACCCCAACCTCTCCCTGCACCCATATTCCCTCCCCATGCCCGTACCCCAACCTCTCCCTTCACCCATATTCCCTCCCCATCCCCATACCCCAATCTCTCGCTGCACCCATATTCCCTCCCCATGCCCGTACCCCAACCTCTCCCTTCACCCATATTCCCTCCCCATCCCCATACCCCAATCTCTCGCTGCACCCATATTCCCTCCCCATGCCCGTACCCCAACCTCTCCCTTCACCCATATTCCCTCCCCATCCCCATACCCCAATCTCTCGCTGCACCCATATTCCCTCCCCATGCCTGTGCCCCAACCTCTCCCTGCACCCACATTCTTTCCCAGAGCCTGCTCCCATGCTATTCCCTGCACTTTGGGGAGCCTTGTGGCAGCAGCCTCAACCATCCTATGGACAGATCCCAAGGCGCTCTGGGAAATTGCCTGAGAGGAGGGGCCTCTGCACTGCCCCCTCCCAACCTGCTGTGCTTGCTTCACCCCAGCCTCAGTGCTCTCTGCTTCCCGCCTCTGTGAAGAAGTGGAGCTCAGCCGGTTGGGAGAGGGTGGTGGGGCAGAGAAATGTTGCTGGGCTGCTCTGGCTCCCACCACCACAGTGAGGGAGGGGAGTGGGGCTGACCCTTGCTGCTGTGCAGTCCCCACACTGCTCCCTCACCTGGATTCGCTCTCTGAGCCTTAGGCAAGTTGGAGGTGAGAGTTTGAATAGGAATGAGGGTCTGTGCTCTGGACATTCTGGGCACCACCAAAATTTTTGCAAACCTGCCATTTCTGACCTGCAGCCCTGCTCCTTCATGGTGCACCAAAGCACTGGGGCGCACCAGAAAGTCACAGGCAACTTTCCCGGGAAGAAGGGGAAATGATTCTACACAGTGTGCTGCTCCTCTTGCTGCTGAAGGAAAACACCACTGTGGGCCTGGTCCATGCAAGCTGGCCCTGCGATATCATTGCTGTTTAAATATAGGTTCCATTACTCATTGGCTGTGTCTAGACTGGCAAGTTTTTCCGGAAAATCAGCTGCTTTTCCGGAAAAACTTGCCAGCTGTCTACACTGGCCGCTTGAATTTCCGGAAAAGCACTGACGATCTCATGTAAGATTGTCAGTGCTTTTCCGGAAATACTATGCTGCTCCCGTTCGGGCAAAAGTCTTTTTCCGAAAGACTTTTGCGCAAAAGGGCCAGTGTAGACAACACAGTACTGTTTTCCGCAAAAAAGCCCCGATCGCGAAAATGGCGATCGGGGCTTTTTTGCAGAAAACTGCGTCTAGATTGGCCACGGACGCTTTACCACAAAAAGTGCTTTTGCGGAAAAGCATCCTGCCAATCTAGATGCGCTTTTCCGAAAATGCTTTTAACCGAAAACTTTTCCGTTAAAAGCATTTTTGGAAAATCATGCCAGTGTAGATGTAGCCACTTTGTTTTTATCAAGACAACCTGAATAGGGGTGGTCCCTGCTAGCAGCACCATAAAGTTAGAACTTCCACTCTCTCCTCCCAAAATACCTCACGTGATGAAGACTCTGCAAACTAAACAGAACATAAAACCATCTTCCACAATATGAGGGTTCTTTAACTTTGGTTCCCAGCTTTGAGCAGGTAAATTCACAGTGTGGGTGGGAGGCTGATTTATCAAACATTCTCATGTGTGTTGCTTTTTCTGAAATACTTTCTCCCCTTATTCGGCACACCTGTTCAATGTCATAGCGACGCAGGTTCTGTGATGCTAGCCCTCCCATTATCATTTGGGTGACTGGTGAATTTAGCTTGAACATTCCTAAGGATCAGTACTTCCTTATTCCAAGATGAACTTGTCCCATGATTTTTACCCTACTGTAAACAATTTGAGGTTAGCTTGTGGCATGGTTAAACCACACCTCTGAGTAGAACATGGTACACAGCTGCACTGGTGAAGAAGAGCATCAAAGTGTTTGTTATTCTCTGCAGCTGAATCTGTCATTGATTCTGGAGTAAAATGGGTATGAAATCTGCCCCATGCATGAGTCTGAAAAAGCGTGTTCCTTGACAGGATGTCAGTTCTGCTCCTTGCTCCTGTCTTATTACTGGGGAAGGTAATAAGGGAAGCAAGCAGCAGCAGTAAAAAGCAAACCCTGCACTTTCCAACTAGTATTTGGTTTTTACTGTGTGCTGACTGTGCAGGAAGTGGTACAAAATAATAACTTTGAATTTCATTAGGTATTCCCATCTCCTGACACCATTTATGAACACCATACCAGCTGTGATCGCCAAAGCTTCTGCTATTCACAACCCCATCATTTATGCCATAACTCATCCCAAATACAGGTAGGGTTGTTCGCTTCAAACACAAATAGCATAGCAAAGAAAACTAAACCTGTCTTAGATGCTATTTCACTGATTCATTGAAATTCCTCTGTATACTAAGCTGCTTCATCTGCATGTTTTACCTTTATGCTGGTTTTTTTGCCTCTGCAAATGTGCATGAAACCAAAAGAGAAAACACAAAAAAGTTCTTAATACCCTATACATGCCAGTGGAGTTTGTACTCAGAACAAATTTCCATCCAGATGGAAGCTAGAGACATGTATGGAACGTAATATCTGTACTCAATGGATGTCTGATAAAGGATAGGGACTTTCTTGACTAAAACACGTTTTATGGTGTTTTGCTTTAAAATATTTCCTTGACAAATGTACCCATTTGTCACGGCTGCAATTAGCAGTGTGCCAAGTTATCCAGATCAATGAGAGTATGGTAAATGGTTTTTTTTCTTGTGTCGTGGGCCTCTCTTTCCTCCTTGATGCTTTAGAGTTTATACTACCACATGAATACTATGTGAGCAGATGCCCAGGAAGAAACTAGAATAGCTGCTTACAAAGAGATTAAAATAATTCACTGTACTTCTAAACAGTTCAGTTTATAAGCCCAGAAGCTTTGTTTTTGTCCCAGTTAATCTTTTAACAGAGAAAACATTTTAATAGCTGGTTTCATTAGAAAAATACATTTTTTGTTGGTAGTAAATTCTGACAACAAAATGCTGTAAATCATTCCTGTTTCATTTTTTTTAAATTGTATTGAAGAGTTTTGTAGATGCAAAAAACCAAACCAAACAAAAAAAAAACCAGTATCTAAAATCTGGGAAACTTTTACTATTGTACCCAGCAACATCTTAGTCTATGCAGCATGTTTCTATCTGTCTGAATGGTGAGTGACTTTTTGTGGCAGGTTTATTTAGCCAGAGGGAACTAACTAGTTCTACTTTTTATCCTCTAGAATGGCCATTGCAAAGTATGTGCCATGCCTTCGACCCTTGCTAAGAGTTTCTCGTAAAGACTCCAGGTCTTACAGCAGGTATCTCTCAACTAGACAATCCACTATAACCAGCCAGTCTGAGATAAGTGGACTGCAGAAGGGAAAGAAATGGAAATCCTCTCTCTCAGAAAGTGAATCAGTAAGGAAAACCCTTCAGATACGTTTATTTTTAAAAAGCAAGCAAATAATTTTCATACAGCATCCTTCAAAGTGGTGGCTAGATTCGATGGAAAGAGGCGTTGTGAAGATCTCCGAAGGGGCTAATTTTATGAGGAGAAAGCAGAATAAAAAAGGAGGATAAAGTTTAAAAGCGGGATGTAAATAACATGTATATTCTTGCAGGTTTCTGACACTTATGGGAGAATGGAAAGATGCACTAATAGGAAGACAAAATGTAGATGGGACTTAGTGTAAAGTGCTTCAGTGACTTGGAACTTGGACACTTAAAAGTAAAATTGCAGTTCCCCAGGTTGTAAAGACAAAGACAACGCGCTTCCTGAAAATGAAATGGGCTGCATTTAGAAACAGAGTATTTGGCAAATTTAGACAGATTAACAAAATCCATCACAGAACTATTTTTCCAGAAGACCTCAAAAAGCTTACTGCTGACAAACTAAGTATTGCCAAATGTTGTTTCTGCATGATAGCCAGAAACAGGTCTGATTTCTGGAGTCCACGTCTCTTTCTAGCTTATTAATGGCACATTAGTGTTCTATTTTCAACCATTTTGTACAATTTCTAAAATGGAAAAATACCATCATGTTCCATGTTAGTATTCATGTTTTCAAGCTAATATTCTTTTAGTTAAAGTGGTCAAGCTCTGAATTCTGCCAGTTACTTTTAAAGACGATTTTCCCCTTTTTTTTAATGTTGTACTTATCAAGCCAATCAAAATTAAACTCATCAGTGTCAAAGATAGCATTCAACTTAAATGTTTTGAAATTCACTAGCTGCTTCTGGTAAGACACACTTTAAATGCTGTATTTTACATTTAAAAATAAGAAATAATCCTTCAAAAATATTAGTATGTTTTCCCTCTTCCCCACTGTGCTCCCCTTCCCCACCCCACCCTGCTGATAAGAATTTTTCAGCCCTGGTTACACCAAGGAGTTATTTTGAAATAACTTCCCTTATTTCAAAATAACAAGTGGAGCATCCATACTACCAAGCCCATTATTTCGAAAGAAGGGGCTGGTTATCATATATACGGAACTCATTATTATGAACATTCAAAATCACTTGTTAAAGGTATTTTTGAGGGAATCATATATATAGTAGCCCAGTGTCAGAGTCTGTAACGCCAAAATGCTGGCTGTTTCCTCTGGGCGGCCCGTGCTGCATGGGGAGTGCGGGGCCCAAACAGCTGCTTGCTTCCCTGTGGTGGCCCGGTTGAGCAGTGCAGAAGTCAGCCAAGTGCCATGGCGGAAGGGGAAAGGGGGTGGGGTGGGGCGGTGACGTACATGCCCGGGGGTGGGGTCTGGCCATGTACATCACCGCTTTGCCCCCTTTCACCTCCTGCCGTGGCGCTCGGCTGACTTCTGCGCTGCTCAGCCAGGCTGCCACAGGGAAGCCCAAACCCTG